TTTTTTTTTTTTTTTTTTTAGCGTTTAGCCTCTGTAGGATTGGATGCCAAAAATACAGTCTGTATTTGGGACTGGAGGAAGGGAAAACTTCTGGCCTCAGCCACAGGCCATTCTGACCGGGTAAGACCTTCATCAGCTCAAATTATGCAGATTTCAGAACTGTGGAGTATTTGTGATTTTATGTCTTTTAAAAATAAATTTGTTGTGAATAGGTATTTTTTCCTTACATATTTGACTTCTAAACATACTATGTACTTATGGTTAACAGCTAACTGTTGTTATATGTATAGTTGAAATGTATTCATTGACACCTGGAAAGAGTTGTTAGGAAATATTCACAAAAACATGATTATAAGGGTTTGCATTTTGACTTGTGATCCTTTGGTGCATTTGACAATGTTGAATGTAAACTTGTTTGTCATCCCAATCGCAGTATGATCAGAAATGGTAATTCCATTTGGTCAGAGCTAGCAAGATAAAGGACAAAGCAGCATGTTAACTTGTCAGAAAGCTATTTCTGTACTGTCGTTCATAGACTTTATTGTCTTGTTTTCTGGCATATGAATTTACATGAATATCTTACTTAGAATTTCTAATTGTTTTATATTTTTATGCAGTGTCCATATAGAATGAGGCCCTAAAGAAGCATCAAATTCATTATCTTGTTTAGTATGAATTATGAAAAATATTTATAACAGTACATTTGTAGGATAACGGAACCTCACAGTAGCTGCAAATTCCCCTTCAGGAATGACTAGCAATAGAACGCAAGTGTTGGAAAAGGCCTGAAGCACCTTTGATGTGGTTCTTAACAGTAACTGAGTATGTAGAGCCCTAGGAGCTGTTACAGCCTGGTTGACACCAGGGCTCTACCCTCAATAATTTGAATCTTACTGAACCTAACTTTGTACTTGTGTTAGTTTTTCTACTGCTGTGACAAAATACCTAAGAAAACAAAAGAAATACCATTTTGGCTCATGATTTCAGTCCAGGCTTTCTGAGCTACATGTTTTGGGGCCTGTACTGAGGCAGTACATTCATGACAGAAGGGCTTGGCAGGGAAAAGTTGCTCACTCATTACAACCAGGAAACAGAAATAGGGCAAGGGATGAAGAAGAAGTTATAGACTTTTCAAAGGCACACACTCCAGTGACTCACTTCCTCCAACCAGGCTCTACTGACTAATAAACTCTTCCCCAGGGAACTCATCAATAGATAATGAGATTAGCAGCCCCCATGATCCAGTCACTTTTCATTAGTGCTGCCAACTGTAGACCAGAAGTCCAATACATGAGCCTCTGGGGTGATGCTTCATGCCCAAGCCGTAACAGTACTTATGAAATTCTTAGGTTGGAAGTATTGGGATGCTTAGCTTTTAGATGCTACCTTGTTTGCTTACGCTGTGATTTCATCACACATATCCTATGAGGTAAGGTGAGTTGGACTGGATCAGTACAGGAATTTCCAATGATCACAAAAAGTGGACTTGAGACCCAGTACAGCATGCCTGTACTCATAAGTTACCTTACCTGACTCATAAGTTATTACCTGACTCATAAGTTTAGTTTTTAAGAGTGGGCCTGAAGTCGCAGAACCTTCATTCCCCCAGATATCTCTTGGAACTGTCTATGCTCTGGAACTGTGCTGCTGGATCTGTGTATGGAACTCTGTCTTTGAGTCAGGCCTCACCCATGATTTTTTTCAAAATGATTTCTCCAGCTTCAGTTGGGGAAGTACAGGTTTGGGTCCACCCTTATCTTATCAGACAGTCTTGCCTTTTTATCTCTGGTTCTAGAATATTTCATACACACAACGTCAGGCATCCTTTCTCTTCATGTTTTCAATGAAGATGGATGTGCTGTCTTTCAGAGCTTTGATATGTTATTTCTCAAGCATGCCCACATTATTCTTTTTTTGGGGGGTGGGGGGAACTAGCAAATAGAGGTTCCAAGGACTGTTAGATTCCCAGGCTATTAGAACACATGGTTCATTGAGTTTGCCAAGGTTAATTAAAAGTCATCAGTCCAGATTCTGTCCATTTCATTATTATTTTTTTATGTGCTTAAGTGTATTGCCTGCATGTGTGTAAATGCACCCGTGTCATGAAATGCCTGCAGAGGTCAGAAACGGGCATTGGATCCCATGGAACTGGAGTTACAGATAGTTGTTAGTCAACATATAGGTGCTGAGAATCAAACCTGGGTCCTCTGCAAGAGCAATCAATGCTCTTAACTGCTGAGCCATTTCTCCAGCCTCGTTCTGTCCATTTTACAAAAGTCATTTGTACAACCCATTACACAAAATTGTGACGCCATACTTAGTTTGATTGAAAACACAGTATTTTATCCAAGTTATTCTGAAATTACTATTTCTGTTTCTGAAGTTTAATATGAATTAATATGTTATATGTCAAGACTTGTGGACCCATTACCATGGGAAAAATATTGAAGATTAAAGTTGTAAACACTTTCAACTGGTAAAAGGCTATTTGGAAAAAAGACTAATAGTAGTATGAAGTGTTTTCATCAGGTTGTTAAATTCCTATTAAATCAAATTTGGTTGAGCCTTCCTCTATGCTTTGAGGCCCTGTATATAGAGGGAATTTCTACTACCTTGGAAAGCAAATAAACGAAAAACTTGATTTTAGAATGTAATTTTGTAACAAATAGCTGAATGTCAACCAATCACAGCAGCAAAGCTTCGGCCAATCACAGGCAGAGAACCATGCCTAAATGAGACACATGCCAAGCGGGAACACCAAGCTGTTGGTAGGACTGCTGTACTGTGCTTCATGCTTGTGCCTGTCCATGTTGTAGAGTGGAGCTCTCAGTCTCTCCTGCTTCTGGGAACCTCCCAGTTTGCAAATAGTTCTTTGCTCATTTAAATGCTATTAAATTTAACTTGTCTAGAAGCTGGAGTGATGGCTTAGCAGTTAAGAGCACTGGCTGCTCTTACAGAGGACCCAGGTTCAATTCCCAGCACTCAACATGGCATCTAACAACCAGCTATAACTCCAGGTCAAGGAGGGGTCTGATGCCCCCTTCTGACCTCCATGAGCATTGCACAACATGGGTGCACTTGCATGCATTCAGGCAATACAGTCATACACATACGATTTTTAATTTATCTAAACCCTTTCTTTTAGCACTACGAAATGACATATGACTTGTCTGAGTTTAATTGACTGTGCCCTATTGCTTTATTAGGTTTTAAAGTTAGGCATAGATTGTTTGTCTAGTGAGAGGTTGTTACTAGAGATCCTAGCCACATGGCCTAGCTCTGGGTCCAAATACCAAATTAAAAGAGAATGAGAATGCACGTATA